AAAAAAATGTTTTAATTAAGTAATTGAACACTTACAGACTGAGATATAGCTGGAAAGAGTTGTGAAGTATTTTAAATGCTATTAGGACTTAAATTTTTTAGTTGTATGGACTAGAAACCAATGCTTACTATGCAGTATTATTCCTATACACATCAAGATATCTCCATGTAATTCAACTCTTATAATACCACTGGAAAAATAACCCCAAACCTTGTCATTAAAACAAAATCTCAGCGTCCTCCTCTGTAGGGTTACCTTTCAAGTAGTGCAGACATGCTATACACAAGAAAACTGGGATAGGAATTGGTTTTCCCTGTGTAAGGTTTCCCAAAAAAAAGAAAGAAAAAGCAACTTTTTAGAGGCAGAAGCAGTGTTACCTCTATAAAAATAACAGTGGGACATAAACTAAAATCTAACTGGTGGAGTGGGTTGTGGTGTCTGGGGAGGGAGAGGCATAATTCTGACTTGGTGGGGTTCTGTTCAAAATTAAAGAAAGCATTTTTGATTCCCCTACATGTGTTAGGAAACCTGGCTAAAATTTGGTGGGAGAGCTTAGGCTTTTCTATGTCTGCACCCTAAATTAAAAGTATTTTAAAAATTGTACTTAAAGTATCTTTTACACGTCACTGCAAAAATACTACTCTGAGATGCAAAGCTAGTAAGCTCTGCCTTACACAGTCCTAGAATCACATTTATTAGCAGTGAATAAAAATTTTAATCTGTGCTGTGACGTTCTACCATGATTTTGCTTTTTATCACTATAAATAACACTACACAGAGTATACAAGATTATTTTAGTATTTTTTTATATTATTTGAAGACAACATGCTTGTATTATGCACTAACCAAACTAAAACCTGTTTCATCACAATAAAGTCTTTAGGAAGCATCACAGTATGTGAAGTCAGACAATTTTTTTATTTAAAAAGCTACCTGTCAGGGTTCTTGACACTTGGCTCTCGACGGTAAGGTTACTGTCTAGAAATATTAATATGAAACATTTAAAGTGTTCTAATCCATACTGAGGAAAGCATAATTGGCCACAAACATTTTTGCATTCCTACTTGCTGCTTTCAGATATCTATCTTTTTCCAGGCTGCCTCGTACATCTTAAAATGGCTTTCTTAGTAAATATTTACTCCAATAGCTTTCTTAAGGTATACATTTGGGATGTTAAAAAAAATAAAGAGAAGGACTAAAAGCCTCACTAGTACAGAAAGTACAGAACATAGCTCTTTGACTAAAGAAATACATGAAATTCCTGCATTAATTGTGTTAAGAGAGCTCCTAAAAAAAAAAGTCTGCTATAACTGCTCTGTGGCCTGGAGCAGAGATCTCCTCTAACTCATTAGCCTCGCTAAAAGCACTTTCCAAGGCTATATACTAGTCTTGAGCTGTTGATCTAATGTATTAAAGTGTTTGAAAATAATTTTGCAAACTACACTTTAAGAAGCAGGCTCATGATAAAAACAAAGCCTCAACAAACTTCTACCACAAACAGTCTCCACTTGACACAGGCTGGTATTTCATTCTGGAGCCACACAAAGACAATACAAACAACTGGCAAGTCCTTCAACATCAAGGCAAACAGTTGAGTTTTTATTATTCTTCCAAAAAACATTAAGAAACAATTTACAAGGCCACAATCCCTTCTTTTCGGAGTTATCCCAAGAAAGGCATAAAGAAAAAACCCATGCACAACATATTTAAATAATGTCTTATTCTGAAGTAGTCAAGCTGGTTTGGCTGTCCAGCACAGATCAGAATGACTCTAAAACTGACTGAGCTCTAGCATGCACAAAGGTTTGGGATGTGGAGTGCGTCTTTTCCAACTTCTATCATGTTATTGCCTTCTTGTTTTGCAACAGTCTCTTTCCAACCTACAATCTTCCACATGAAATAAGTCAATCACTAAACAGCTTTGTATTTTCTCTTTATTCAGAGGAGAGCATACACCTGTTTGGGGGTTTTAAAAAAACAGTGTTCTATCAGAGAAATTAATAGCACAAAAATCTCGTTCCGAGAACTTTACAGTAACATTATGACACTTGGTCATCTGCAAGGGACAGGAGAAGTTTACAAGTTCTGACTGTCTCACCAATGCCTACTGTGTTTTATTCCAGGTCTACCTAAAGAATAACTTGTTCATTTCTGTGCACTGTCACAACATCATTGCTAGCAGGGAAGGCATTCTAGGTGAAACAATTTTGATGATGCCTTGACCCACATCAATTGGCTTGGAGTGACAGCTGTACCCTACTCCTTTAACATCTTACTCATGGGACACATTAAAAACATTCAGAAGCTATGAAAAGCTCCAAGAAGTTTTGATCCCACATGTTGTTTTGGGGTTGATTTACATTTAAACAAATCAGTAATTCTGAATATCTTATAGTAAGTACATCACATTGCTTCAAGTGTAAGCTTCTATTTTATTGATAAATATGATGGTTTTCAGAGAAAGATGGGTGAACTGATAGTGAGCTAATCCAAGTCCCAGTATTTCACCATAAGAATATATAAATGCTTCAAATTAAGTTGTTTCATTCTGGTCCTAGCATGACCTAACTTCTGCAAGTATTTCTAGTTATAATTTCTGTCTAAAGCAAATAAATCAGGTTATACCATTTTCTACAAATAGCCTGAAAGTCTAGCAACAGATTCCAGGTCACAGATTTTAGTCACATATGGAAAAAACAAATGGCAGTCTTTCCTCTTCCCTACACTTTCCCCCAGCTTAAGACAGAGCTACATTCTTCAATCCCCTAATGACATAAAATTTAGTTCTCCCCCTGCTCCCACTGAATCTTTTACACCCAATTCAACTGTACACTTCATCCATGTCCTAAGGTGACTTTATAATGCTTATATTCTATTTGCGTTAAATATTGAGTTCTGCCGCTTTAAGACTGGTTCCAGGAGTGAAAGAAGAGAGAAGAGGTGCAGAGTTTGTTATCAGAGACTGCCCTGGCTCCCCCACATCCTTCTCACAGACCGTGCTGTCAGCAGTGGACAGCAGCAGAGAGCTCTCCTTTGCTCTTGGTTAGTTTCTGGCTAGCTGAGGCAGAGAAGCTCCCTGGACTGTGGATTTTTTTTCCTTTTTCTTGGAATTGCTCGAACCTGCTCTGGACTGAAAACCCAGAGGAGCAGCAGGAGCTCACACCTGTGTCCCACCTGGCCTGGCCTGGGGCATTTCCCAGCACCGGAGGGGCTGAGAACAGCCTGAGTGAGCCGGGCTGTGACCCACGGAAGGGACCCTGCTGAACCTGTCGTCTCCTCAGAGAGAGGTTTTGCTGCTTAGTTTTTTTGTGTTGGGAAATGCTCTGCCTATTAAATAAGCAATTTTTTGTTCCACTTCCCCCCAAAAATATACTTTCCCAAAGCAATTAGGGGAGAGGCCGCTTGAATCTGTTTCCTAGAGAGACCCCATTCAAAAATTTCCTCCCAAATTTACCCTAAACCAAAGCAATGCGTTTTCAAAAGATGGGGGTTTTCTAACATGGCAGGTGTATCTGCAAACACAGTAGGAATCAGATATGATCAGGTCTTTGTAGTGCTAAAAAGAAATGTACTATTTTGATGATAACTATTGTCAAGAAGAAGAAATACAATGCAGGGGAAATTCTTGAAGAACATCTTGCAAAAAATTTGCTATGTAATTTTGAAAGGGTATTTTTGTTATTGCCCTCAAAGTTTGTTTTTTATAAACGTCTGAGTATTTGAGCTAGAACTATCCAAGGCAAAGATTGGCATTCAAAGTTGCAGCTATCTACAAATGTTAGCTTGAATTCAAGCTCTTTCCTCAACTCTATTTGCCCAACAGAGAAGTAGTTCATGAAGCAAGCTTCCACTTTAATTTCGCTATTAATCTTCCAAACAGAAAATCTTCCTGTTATTTGGATTTGGGGTGGGAGAAGCACCTCTGTGCAGGAGGAAAAAAAAAAAGATTTCTATACAAAACTTGTGGTGGCATCTAAGAAACATGTAACACAGCACAGACAGAAAACAATGTCTACAAGCCGTGTGAAAGGTTGCTTTATTATCCACTGTTTTATTATATCATGCCTCCTTATGCTATCTTTCTTCTTCTTAGAAACATTTCCAAGGTCACCTTCAGAGTTCAGTTTACTTGTGATCCTACAAGACCTACTATCTGCACGTTGTTTTGTAAACAAGAATGTGCCATCTACTGGCAGCTTAGTAAATTGGAAGTTCATCCATCTCTACTTTAAACATTCTAAAAATTTATCCTGTGTTCAATTAAAATGCAAAACTAAAGAAGCAAACTCCAGCTAAACCCTTCAGATTGTATTCCAGCCCCTAGCATATCAATACTACAAGTAAGTTACAAGATATTTAACAATAAATCAGAAAGTTAGTGCTATAGGTCTGTTCAGCACAACCTTCTGAACCCTAATCAAACTGTTTTTTCTTTTGCTCTGCTGCTATCTTCTTATTTTATGAGAGATAATAAAATCCCTATGCCCTAGTCTGAGGTTTCAATTAGCTACAGTTACCTGATTGAACTTAAAGAAAGAACTGCTTGAAACATTTTTTCATAGTGGAAGATTGAAACACCCTTAACTCGTGTATTTTAAGAGTATAAGATCAATTTTTTAGCAACTCCATTATAACTGATTCACTTTAAAATACACGTTTCTTAACACTGCAGTGTTACAGTGCAGCAACACAGCCCAACTTCAGTATAAATGCACTCTTCAAAGTAGGCTTCCGAAACTGTTTTTAGGGACTGGCTACTTTAATGGTAGTTTCCACTCGTACAACTTGTTAAGACAGCCTGTTGAGGGAGTCCTTCGGCGCAGGTGCTGCACACCCCCGAGCCTGCCGCTCCAGGAAAGCGCCCGGGGGCTGGCGGAGCACCTTCCACCCGAGCGGAGAGCGGAGCCCGCAGGTGCAGCGCCCGGCCCGGCCCGGCCCGGCCCGGAGCGGGCAGCGAGCGGCGGCTCAGCGTCCCCGCACTCTGCCGGCCTCCCCGTTACCTGCAGCCGCATAAACTCCTGCTGCGCTTTCAGGCTGTCGTTCATGGCCTTGGAGAAGACGAACCCCATCGCGCCCTGCAGCGCAGAATACACGAGGCGGGGGATGCCGGCGAGCCGGGAGAACCGGGAGAGGATCGGGAGAACCGCCCGCGGGAGGAGCCTGCCCCGGCTCCCGCCCCTTCCCCCCTTCCGTGCGGAAACTACCTCAAGAAGTTTAAAGAAAGCCGTACCAATTGAATAGGCGGGCCCTCCTAGGCTCGCCATTCAGGTGTGGTGTATCTAGGCGATTCATGTGAATCACCAAGGAAAAGAATTAAACATGCCTTTGTCGCTTAACGCTTCTTACCTTGCTCTGCCTTTCATCATCTGTCATCATCTGTAATTACAGGCTGGCTTTGAAATCCAAAGAAACTAAATTTTCACATTTGAAAATACTGGGTCAGAAATATATGCACTGTCAGTCGGTCTTTAAAACAGGGTTACAAATAAGTGCCAGAATTACAGAATCCCTGAATATTCTGAGTTGGAAGAGACCCACAAGGATCATCGAGTCCAACTCTTAAGTGAACGGCCCGCACGGGGATTAAACCTACCACCCTGATAATATTAGCACCATGCTCTAATATTCAGAATTCTTTTGGCACTGAAGAGTATCTCATTCCGTTTTCCAACTTGAATCTGTGAGGATACACAGCACTTCAAACACCACCTCACAAGGCAATTTGAAATTTTGTCTTATCACAGGAGTTAATGTTTTTCCAGAAACAGTCTAGTCATTCAATCTGCTGACATCTTGACCTGCAAACTTTGTTTTTGCCAATACTTATTTTCTAAATTCAGGAATTTTTCAAATAGTTTTGTTTAAAAAAACTGAGAAGAGAGCTGGTTTCCCATTTTCCTCCCTATTATTATTATTATTATTATTATTATTATTATTATTATTATTATTATTATTACTACTACTGATAGAGTAAAAATGACAGAAAATGAGGGAAAAATAATGATTTTTCTGCTGTGGAGATGTGCTTACATTTTTACTTGAAGTAAAGAATTTCCAAGAACTTGAACTATTTTAGTGATATTTTGAAAATGCCTGTGACTTTTGGGAGTATTTAACAAGTATTTAATTTCTCCCCTAGATCTCTGATGCAGCAGATGCGATCCAGGGTAGAAATTTCTTGGAATACTCCAGCTCCACGCAAGATGGCACTGCTGCACTGGCAGCCCCTGACAGGTGTCCCTTACACTGGGCTCCGCCAGAAGAGAATTGTGATTGATGGGTGCCTGCCTCACTGATGAACCTGTGAGAATATAATGATCTTTCCAAGCGGGTTACCAAACATAACCATCCATCTTCACCCACTTGGCTTGCAACCAAGCAAACCATTTTGGTCTGTCCAAATGTTTTCTTGAGGAGAAAGGTGTTTCAGGGTGCAGCAGACCTCTCTACTGCAGCTCTGGCAGACCTCTGAGTTACCGAGATCTGCTTCCTATGGACAGGTTAGCACGACGGGACGGCAGATTTCAATAATACAGGAATAGCTAAGGGAGAGGTGGAGGGGCAGAAATGTGACTTACTGCTAGGGAAACAGTGTTGGTTTCCGAAGAAAGGATCTAGGATTTACAGAGCAGCAGAGAGAATGCAGGCTAGTTTCTATAGGGCGGAGGAAGGCACTGTGGTTCATGCCCGTGGAAGGGAGGCTGGTTTGAGCTACATCAGACTGCAAACACTGGCAGGAGCCCGCCTGTATCAGGGGCTGCAGCTCCTGCCTCTCTCTGTTGGTACCACAGAGAGAGTCTGGTGCAGCTCCAGACATGAGCTGAATTCTGTGATTTCACGGATACGGGCAATATTCATCGCACCACGCCGGGGCACGTAGCCTCTCCTGTTCCAATTCCCAACCTGTCAGGTCATGGTACGGAGACCACAGGAAAAAAATGGGACAGCATCATATATTGCATGGTGCTGTTAGTCAGCATTTCTGAAGGCAGGCAGTGTTTCTCTAGTCCAGAAAGCTACAGGTATTGCTGCCATTACAAAAGACCCATGCATAGTCATAAAGACATTGCATAGTAATGGAAGTCTGGCAACCATTAGACGGCCAGTCATGTCTCCTTTGTTCTTGCCATATTTTTAAAAATAATATTTAAATTATGAGATGTCTTTTCTCCACAAACAGGTGGACCAAAAATAATTGAACCTTGGAAATGTTGACTGTAATATTAAAAAAAAAAAAAAGAGTAATCTAAAAATGGAAATAGTTATAATTTGTGCCAATGTAGATATTTATTGGGTAATTTATTTGTGATTTTTACATGATGAGGAACACAGAAAGAGGAACATAACATTAGTACCAGAATAAATATTTGAAAGAAAGCAAGCGTTCTTCCTCTTATCTTCACATGTAGCACTTGGATGCATCAGTTTGAATTTTGCCATAAGGATTTGGGAGTTAAACAATTAATTATTCTCTGCAATTTTATAATCCAGATTGAGAAGAAAACATATCATGCTAGAGATAGCCTTTAGAACTAGCATCTGGAAAGTAGGTTATCTGTGTCTGTATCAGTCTGCCTGATTCATTTCATTGAACTCAAAAGATCATCTACAAAATTAAATTCCAAAATCTATCAATCAAAATAGTTTGAAAGAAATAAAGATCAAAGTCCTGAATTTGTAGTAATTAGTAAGTAGATTTCCTTGTTTTAGGATAGTATATTTACTTAAGGATGCTAGAAGTGTACTGACTGTAAACATAGGTGACTGTAAGGAATTTTAACCCCATAACAACTAATTATTTAACTTGTGACATAAGTTTGTTTTTGTTTTTGGTTTTTGGTTGGTTGGGGTTTTTTTTAGATTTTAGGAATGCATGTTGAGCAAAATGATCCAGATTTCTAATACTTTACATGAACGAGGAAAGATGATTGCAGCCTTGGAGATTTTTACCTATTTTTGCTTTAATATTTGACTTCTGAAAATAGGAATTGTGTGAAGGAAAAGCAGCTACAGAGCTAAGACAAACCTGTAGCTTTGACATAGCATTTTTTGTTTGCTGTAGGGGAAGTCCTTAAGTTATCTTCTTAAGTCTTCTTAGTTAACTTGAAGTGTTTATAATAAACTAGAAGCTTCACTTCATTCTGGAAATATTTCTGTAGTCATTTTTTGTTCTTACTGGAAAGAAACTTCACAGCTTGGTTTACGATTACTTTGTCTGGTTTTATGACTGTTTTGCAACTCACGTACACCACATAGCTGTGTAAGTAAACTTGCCATTTACAAATGTCACATTTATTGCTAAGCTATTTGAAGCTTGTTAAAATATGAGCTTCCTCTGAGTCCTTTATCTGGGCTCCTACCTGCCTTGAGGCCTCTGTGCTCCTCTGTGCTTGTGGAGATGGGTCTCTGTTGGACTGATATTCCCTGGGAAGGGCCTGGAGCCAGCAGAGATGACAGACATTGTTTGTCTGGAGGCATGTGTAAGGGTGTGCAGAGGAGTTTCATTGCATAACCTAATATCTACAGCCTTTTTTCTGAGCGACTCATTATATGGTTTTGGAAGATTTGAACACTATTAAACCGATTGTTGTTAAACATCTCCACATCAATTTTCTTACAGAACCTACCACAATGCCTCTTCTGTCCGCCTGCCAGCTTCCAACATCTGTGGCAAATAGTTCTTAAAAGCAAAATATATTCACTGTATAAATTGCTCCTCAGTGCTGCATGTTTCTTCCACAATCAAATGAAAAAGACAGGAAAAACAGAACTATTTGTCAAAAGACTTCATGTGACAACTTAAATGTTGATGTCACCATGATGTTGTGCTGTATCAACAGAATACCAGATGGCTTCCAGGTAGGCTTCCTGTGGTTTCTCAACCACCTGATGGCTTATAAAACCATTAATGACATATTGCAGGTGGCAGTACCTGATGCTTAGGGCACAGAGAGCATAGTGATTTGGGTGTCCCTCTCCTCCTTCAGTACACATCTCTGAGACACGTATTCTACCATGGATCACAATTTTGTACTTGATTTATATTTCACCCTGTAAATATATTCATTTGTAAACCATTCTCACAATGGCTCTTTGGTTCTTTGGAAATGTCCGGAATAATATTCTTATTTCAGGGTTGATTTCTGGTAGAAAAGTTGCTGCTGAGATTTTGTTAGTTTCATAATATAAGAAATATTGTCACAGCAGAGAAGCTATACACTACATTTTATTTCCAGATTGTATTATCACATTATTAAATTGGAGGTTTGTCTCCCAGAAGGTTATTTTCAAGTGGCAGGGAACAGAGCTTTTAAATATATTGCTGCTTTGTCTCTGGTAGAAGTAGGACATAGCTCCTGGAATTTACAGATATCCTGGATACTGTGTCATTTCCAGTCCTTAGACACTAGTCATCCTCCGCCTGCGTATGTATTAGTCATGTAAGCCATCCGTTTAGCAAATGAATGAAATTATGTCACCATGTTTGAAAAGAAGGGACAAGGAAAGGGCAAGGGAATCGGGATGGGGTGGGGGACGTACTGATGGCACTTTTGCTATTTTTGTTGTTGTTTTCTAGAGCTCTCGCCTCTTAGGAACAGAAAAATTGCATGAAGAACCCCCTGTTCCGCCACGGCTGAAGATTTGGGAAACGTGAGTCCTAGGAGCACGGTGCTGGGGGTTTTCGGGACGGGTTTCCGCGAAGGGGCGCGACAGGGAGTGGTTCCCGGCATTTCCACGGCCGGCACATCCGCAGTGCGGGGGCCGGGGCCGGCGTGTAACACACCTGTTACCTGTCAGAGGAGCCCCCAGGTGGGGAGGATGTGCTGGGCAGAGAGAGAGGAGCCCTCAGGTGGGGAGGATGTGCCAGGTAGAGAGAGAGGAGCCCTCAGGTGGGGAGGATGTGCCAGGTAGAGAGGAAGGAGCCCCCAGGTGGGATGGAGAGGCCGGTCAGAGAGGGAGGAGCCCCCAGGTGGGGAGGAGAGGCCGGTCAGAGAGGGAGGAGCC